TAATCATCAGAAAATGCTTTTAAATTTTATGTATCTATAGAGTCGGCCCATATATAGTCTAATATAACAAAAGTCAAAACTAAATGATGATATTTCTCTTAATTAATTGTCAAAAACATGTTTACAATACCATTAGCGGTGAAAATGAGTGCATAGTATGAGATGTGTTATGGAAACTAATTGTCTGACAAATCAAATAATTTGTATATCATTAGCTAATAAATGTATTGAAATACATGTAAATTTATTTACCATTATTATATATCGCAGAAAATTAATTATCCTAAAAGTAATTTCACAATTTTAAATTTATTTTATATCTATATTTTAATTACTTACAGTTAAAAACTATTGCCAATAGTATACCACTGTATAGTACTGTATATCCTATGCTTTAATTACTATAATATAAAGTATATTGTTATCTAGATAAAGTAATATCTCTATGAATAGTATATTATAGGTTTGAATTGAGAGCACCAGTAGTGCCCGTCCCATCGAGAGATGGTTATCAAAACAATTGTATTCAAAATCAATGGACATATAAATCAATAGAATTGAATGGCTATTGAAAACTTTACAATCATTCCCTATACGAACTCTCGGCTACTGTTAGGGCACAGTTAGGGCACTGGCAGATGATTTGGATAATACAGTGCAATACTGTACCCTATTTACATTATAGTAACTTTTATTAAAATGATCATTTCAAAAAATATCATTAAAAACATCAAACAATAGTAATAATGCTTCAAAATATAAGACCCAAACAGTTATTAAGTTAATGTCAAAACCGATCTCTGGTTTAAATCACAAACAATAAATATATGCTTTATTATCTCATTATGTAGTCATTCAGCAAATCTTCACTAAAAACTAATACCTATTTATTATATACTATTCTTGGGTTATATTTGGTATAATTTATGTGACTTTTTAGTACACAATAGATTGCAATAGATATTTATTGAAGTTTAAAAATAAATTTTAATATCATTTTACCCCACATTGTGTTCACCGAAATTTTAATACCTGTGCTCTACTTATATTGACTCTTATATTATAACACACTTTCAGTCAAAAAATCAAAAATATAACTATAAATGTGTTATAATCTTATTAAAAGTCTTACAGTTATAGCCTTAACGCCATAGAAAACACGTATAAGTATTCAAAACACAATTAGCATTAAAATTCAAACATCTGTTTAAAGTATGCAAACTTGAAAATGATTTGTACGTGAGTTTTGAATACATTGCTCAACACATTGCCATAAATTGTGGTTTAAATTCAATGGTATTTTATGGTATTAAAAGTCTCGATACGTGCTGTGAATTATAGTCCACTGATTTTAACCATATATTTATCACTTAAAGTATGCTTTAAATGCATTTTTTATGCCTCTTTGCAAATGACTTATAAATTGATTCAATCCTTCATTTTTCATACCTATTATAGTTTGCAATGAATTTTTAAACGATTAGTTTATAACTGATTTAAATTTAATTAAAATATGATTTATTTTACACCATATATGGCTAATCGGTTACATTTGCGATATTAGTTAACCATTATTTTTCTAATTAGAAAATAGTTTATTTTTGTGTTCAAACAAATTAGTTAATTACAAAACTTAAATATCAAATCGATTATAATTTTTCAATGGCTTATCAATTAATTTTAGATTATATCTCAATATTTTGTTAATTGGATTAAGTGCTAGATTTTGATAACTGTTTTAAGTTATTAATAGAAAAATTCAAATTAATTTTCTTATTTTTTTTCAGTCAAAAACTTAATATCGATTTTATTAATTATTTGAGTACATAATCGTAATTACAATCATCATAATAATATATCAATAATATATTGCAATGCAATTAACAAATCAAATGTGAACAACAGTTGTTTGTTATGTATATTAATAATAATAGTATATTTTATAATATATATAATCAATATTTAGCTACATTTCATAAATTAATTAATAAAACATTTATCTCAAAAACTATTGCACAGAATATCTGTCAGAATCTCACTCTTATATAATATATGTAATGAAACAAAACTTCAAGAATTCAATATTAAAACATATGTTTTCACTCATCAACTAAAATATCACTAATAGTATGACTAAAAACAAATTATATATAATTGAAATAATAGTTGTGTCTAAAATTGGTTGATATAATTGCGTGAAAACATATGCACAAAAAACTTCATAACTCATTGACTGATTTAATACCTAAAGACTTAATACACCAAAAAGAAAAACAATTGTAAATGAATGGTAAATATCTATACAATAATCATAATAATAGTTAGATTCTTGACACAGAATTCATAGCACATCTGTTTGTCATAAATATATTGTAAAACAATTTCTTTCAAAAAGTAGACATCGATTTCTGTCCAGAATTTTTTGATGTTTTGTTTGTAAATCTTATTATTAAAAGAGAGAATAAATTCTTGTGATGTATTATTCGTGTCACAGAATATATATGAGACAAAAAATAGTTATATTGTTTTGTTTGAACGCCTTTTGTGTGTAAATAGATTTTTATATAAGTTATATATTTCTCGTTATAACTGGTTTTTTGTGTTGAAATTTGTAAATAGATTATTGTGTTTATATAATAATAATTGTTTTATTATTGTGTGCTTTCATAGTATGTATAGATATATTTAATAAATCACAACAGATTATAATTTACTTTATTTACAAATATATATTATTTTCTTCTTTAAGTCATACTTTAATTCACACAAGAATTTAAAGCAAAATATTTTCGTTTAGGCTTTCGTTTTCAGTTCACAATTGATTTTTTAGTGTATTTTTAGTTTTGTTTTCAAACATAATTCATAGAAATGTTTTTCAATATATTTTTCTAATGAGAATATAATAGTAATTCTGAATGCAATACAACAACAGATATGATGTTTTCTTGTATTAATTAAATTAAATTAAAACTTAGTTTAAAAAAAGATCACAATTTGAGCAAAAAATAAGTCGCTTTACAAATCATATACGAAAAGAAAATATTACATAAGATTTATAAATTAAAATACAAACTAATCGTCGATTATGTCGTGAATAGTCGTATAATTCACTAATATTTTTAAATTTACAATTAATTAAATGAAAAACCTCATCGATAAATATATTAAAATAAAAATCACTGAAAAATAATAATTATTATATAAAGAAATCCAATAATTAATTCATAACAAATTAATTATAAATAATTATTTAATTAATACAGTCTTGAAGTATTATATTTGCATTAATTGTTGTGTTTTTAAAAAATATTTTACAAATTATTAAATCAAAAAAAGAGACGAGACTTTCAAACAATAGAAGTTTTTGTCCTTCACACAAGAATTTAAAGCAAAATATTTTCGTTTAGGCTTTCGTTTTCAGTTCACAATTGATTTTTTAGTGTATTTTTAGTTTTGTTTTCAAACATAATTCATAGAAATGTTTTTCAATATATTTTTTCTAATGAGAATATAATAGTAATTCTGAATGCAATACAACAACAGATATGATGTTTTCTTGTATTAATTAAATTAAATTAAAACTTATAATTAAAAAAAGATCACAATTTGAGCAAAAAATAAGTCGCTTTACAAATCATATACGAAAAGAAAATATTACATAAGATTTATAAATTAAAATACAAACTAATCGTCGATTATGTCGTCAATAGTCGTATAATTCACTAATATTTATTAATTTACAATTAATTAAATGAAAAAACTCATCGATAAATATATTAAAATAAAAATCACTGAAAAATAATAATTATTATATAAAGAAATCCAATAATTAATTCATAACAAATTAATTATAATTAATTATTTAATTAATACAGTCTTGAAGTATTATATTTGCATTAATTGTTGTGTTTTTAAAAAATATTTTACAAATTATTAAATCAAAAAAAGAGACGAGACTTTCAAACAATAGAAGTTTTTGTCCGGTAATAGCTTTTGGGAAAAAAACTTCACATAATTATAATATTTAATACATTATTATAACAACTAAAGTCTCGATTCCAGAATCAATTGGCAAAACAATAATATCTTTAGCCATAAAAATCACAACTCGTTTATTGAGATATTATAACAGAGAAGTCGTTAGCAATAAAAAGCTAACCAATGATTACGGGATCAAAGAGTGAGAGAAACAAGATATCAGTCGAAAAAATAATCAAAAATAATAGTCAACTGTTTGTTACATAAGTACTGGAAAATCGGAAAAGAAAAACAAGAAAAAAAGTTTTACAAAGTTTTCATACATAAGACGAGAGGAAAAAACTTATAATTGAGTTGTGAATCTCAACGGATAAGAAGTCAGATATAATACACACAACAAAAAAGTGGTCACAAAATAGAGATAATAATAACAAAGAAGAAGAAGAAAGGGTTGTGTTGTCTCTCAATGAGTGTATGTTTTTCAATACAAGACTCTTGATGTGATTCAAAGGGAGAAAAACTTGAGAAACGCTTGCGGAGGAACCGGTATGTGAAGGGGAACCGTCTTCAATGGCTCGTTGCCGTCGCTGTCGTCCATATGATTGTTGTTGTGATTGTAGTGTTGAACGAGCGGGTGATGAAAGAAAGGCATATTGTGGACAATAACGGGATGATTGTGTTGCGGTGGTTGCGCACCATTGGCCTGTTGTTTAGCACCGGTAGGCAATTGAACCCGATTCTGGTATACGCACGGATGGCCGTAAGACTAATTGCATGAGACATGTATTGTGGCATTAGATACAAGTTTAGATATCAATCAGTATTTTGTTGTTTTGTTTTTTTGTGTTCAGATCTCTTGTGTGTGTGTTTTGTACTCAACAATAAAGAAATGTTATCTTATTTTTTGTGATTATTTGCTTAAATGATTTACTCTCTTATGATCTTCACTAATATAGCCATTAATAATACACTAATTGTATAGGAATTAAATAAATGCAAAAAACAGGTGTTTAGAGAGTGAGGCATACCTTCCAGAAGAGGCACCGACAGTGTCGGCACAGGAATAGACAGTCGGCGTACTCTTCTTTGAGTCCAAATTTCCTGAAGTGAGCAAAAAATAATACAAAAAAGTTTTTAGTTAAAAATCCAATTTTAAAATCCAGAAATAACTGATTTATAAGTGTCTCATAACAGCAACCGGAAGACGGCAGCAAACGACTGACGGATTTGCCCGAAGAGCTGATCCGTGAGATACTTCTTCGGCTGACGGACTACAAGGATCTGATGAATTCGGGCGAAGCTTAATAAAGCATATATTTATTGTTTGTGATTTAAACCAGAGATCGGTTTTGACATTAACTTAATAACTGTTTGGGTCTTATATTTTGAAGCATTATTACTATTGTTTGATGTTTTTAATGATATTTTTGAAATGATCATTTTAATAAAAGTTACCATAATGTAAATAGGGTACAGTATTGCACTGTATTATTCAAATCATCTGCCAGTGCCCTAACTGTGCCCTAACAGTAGCCGAGAGCTCGTATAGGGAATGATTGTAAAGTTTTCAATAGCCATTCAATTCTATTGATTTATATGTCCATTGATTTTGAATACAATTGTTTTGATAACCATCTCTTGATGGGAAGATCGGGCACTACTACTGGTGCTCTCAATTCAAACCTATAATATACTATTCATAGAGATATTAATTTATCTAGATAACAATATATTGCAATATTATTAAAGCATAGGATATACAGTACTATACAGTGGTATACTATTGGCAATAGTTTTTAACTGTAAGTAATTAAAATATAGATATAAAATAAATTTAAAATTGTGAAATTACTTTTAAGATAATTAATTTTCTGCGATATATAATAATGGTAAATAAATTTACATGTATTTCAATACATTTATTAGCTAATGATATACAAATTATTTGATTTGTCAGACAATTAGTTTCCATAACACATCTCATACTATGCACTCATTTTCACCGCTAATGGTATTGTAAACATGTTTTTGACAATTAATTAAGAGAAATATCATCATTTAGTTTTGACTTTTGTTATATTAGACTATATATGGGCCGACTCTATAGATACATAAAATTTAAAAGCATTTTCTGATGATTAGATGACTTTTACATTAGATTTATAAAAATAATTATTAATTTTGTTTCTATTTCTCCCCTTTTCATAGCTATAGTCAAAGTGTAGACGCAATCAATTCATATGAAAATTAATTTTATTGTAAATACTATTCATAATAAAAGCCGAAATGAGTTTTGAATAGAGATATTATGCATAATAGGAATCCTATAGATATTGTATGCATTTGGGAGTGAATTACCTAAATATAGAGTACAATATTTAATATATATTATGGCATAATATTCATAATATTGGAGTGATTTGACTCTCAAACAGATATATTACTCTCTCTCTCTCTCTCTCTCTCTCTCTTTCGCTTACATTTCCTTCTGATATGAAAATTGAGTTATTTTTTGTTTGAAATTTTGTTTTTTATTATTTGAGATAATTTTTTGTTACCTTTTCCGCCGACTTTAAACGAG